AAATAATTATCTATTATTTATCACGTTTTATCTTGGGGCGAACCGATAAGTCACGTTCACGAAAGTAACAGATTTTTCCGAAATAATCTGAGTTTTCGATCCAATAACTGTCTGATCTTTTGTCTCTTCTGTCCGCCTGGCGAAAACCTTATACAAAATATTTTACTTCAATCTAGAGAGGCTGATTAATAAAAAATATAATGTATTAACTATTAATGTGTATTAAATTTAGTACATACAAAGTTTTCGGCAAAACTAATTTCGCCTTATTTTAACACTAGTGTGAAATTATTTAAATTCCTCGTCTTCGTCCAACCCTTCCTTTATCCCTTTATTAAGTTTACCTTCGTCCGTCTGAAACACGACGTTACAGGCGAACAGCGAAGAAAATTAAGCCCTGTTACGTTATTTGAACTTCCTCGCCAAAGTCCGCCTCGCCCATCACAAAGCAAGCGTGACGGATTTAAAACTAAGGTGTCTTTTTACAGCACCTAAAAGAAACCGTAACACAACGCGAGGAATGAAGAGGGACTGGTATTCAAAAGGAACCCATTTCAGTCTTTGCCGGGTATCGCTTACCCTGACTTATCCTTCATGATTTTCTTCGGAATTATACAGTGAAATATTTCGTGACTGTCTCGTTGCAAATCCACACCCACATATTAATAATGCTTAGGATTCTAATTCATTTTCCGGTCAATGAGCCCTGCAGACATGCCCTCTGTTTATTTTTTTAGGGAACAGATTTGTGAATCGAAAGACATATTAATTACGTTTACGATATCGCACATTTCATAGATTTAATTACTAACTAATTTGTTCTGCACATTTCGAAGTTAATTCCGCTGCACATATATTAATTCTAAATACATTTAAATCGTTATATACTGTTTGGTGGACATTTTGTAGAGTACAGAATATATTTTAATTAATGTGGACTGTTTGGTGTGCAATACGACGGAAGTTTCATTAGCTTGTAAATGCCATTCAGTTGTTAAGGACAGTTCGTGATCGCTGTGAATGTGCTTTGACCAGAAGTTTCAAACTGTACTAGTTGAAATTATGTACAGATCGCTAAATCGTATAGCAGTTCCTAGTTGCCTCATTATAGAGACTGAAGCATTTGAAGGGAGGTAGACGTCTTGTATTCTTCCTAAAATTTCATTTCTTAATTGAATTGGTCGTGTGTAAAATCACATGAGACAGAACTGAGCTGTTGTTACCATGGTAATCGCGCGGCGAAAATGTACCTCTTCCCTCACGAACCACGTTGATCCAAACATTCACTGCGCTTGGGCAGCCATATCTATCGTCTATATTTTGTCAAAACGTCATGAGTCATAGACCCATGTTATTTTACTACTAGGTTTTGGTCCAAGTTTTGACCATAAAGATACCACTGAAATTCACATTGACTTAAATTGGTTTCCCATGCAGTGACAAACGAGAATCAGTGGTCAGGTTTAAAACAACACAAGTCCAAAAGTAACTCCAGCTTATAAATCTAGACGCAAGAAACGACACTGAAAAACTTTCCAGTCTTTCTTTGGAATAAGTAAATAATGCGTAAAGTAAATATCGTGTGTGCTAACATGTTGTTTTTTTTGTACTTTTCTGGAAAGTGAGGTTTGTGGACTCTTGTGGTTTTGCAAATAACCAGTTCAATTATGGTTACTTTTGTTAAGTTTCTCGGACTGTTACTTTTCAGTCAGTCTTCTTGCTAAACGCAATTGTCTAAATTTTACAGAAGTTGTGGTTCATGGTCTTCAGTGTTGTGACGCCATGTACATGGTTTAAAAGTTTCAGAGGAATATTTTATTTCGAATTTGAACTGAAGCCTTCTACCATTGCACACACGCACGCCCACACACACACACGTGCATCCGTCTCTTAACTGATAACCATGGCTCTTATTTTTAAATGCAGCTTCCGTTACCAGAAAAGCATAGCGTACTGTTTTCCTGATGCGAGGTTGGTTATGTTGGAATCCCTGGCAGCGTATAAGTCTCTCTCCCTTCATGATTAATATGCACTGTCAAGACAGAAACTACTAGACTTTTTACACGGGTAAAGCTAATTAAATTACATCCTTCGCAAAGGCTTACGTAGACATGTCAGCTGTACATGTCGGATAGAAGGCACGCATTTCTCTCGGTCTTGACTGTTTCTATGATTTCCTATTTGCGTATTGATTATATACACATGTTTATCTTCAAAAACAAGTAATAGGATTTCCATTATAATTTGAATGTGGATATGTAAATCAGTTCGGCCCAATTTAGTTCGTATCATACCACTATACTATTTATTTTCCTGAAAACTGAAAATTGCTGGAAAGAACTGCATTTGACACACATTCTAAAATAGGTCTATGTACCAAAAATCTTTGCCGTACGGTTATCACTTCTGCTTCGTAATCAGGAGGCCCTGGATTTAAATATCGGTCCGAAGATTGAGGTTCCTTTGTGTTTTTTCACAGTCCCTGCAGGCAGAATAGACAACACCTTAATTTAGTCCACTACCGCTTCCTTCCTTATCCTTTCCAATTGATTTTTCATAGATCATCCTCTCATTCTTATGCGTAGAGAATGAGCTACTGATAACACCGTTAAAGGAGTCAATACAAACGAAACAACACATAATGTGGACGCCAGTAAGATCTATAATTTCGTATATCTGAGTTTCTTTTTCGTGAAATCGAAATCTGTACCACCCACACACTCCCGTTTAATGTGTTTGTATGGTATCGCAACCATTTTGAATTCCTTACTTCTGTTATCGATCCATACAATGAAAACGCTTCTAAAAATGCTGTTTGTTTATTTCCGTTCTGTCATCTGCATATGTTGGCGGCGACTGGTCGCGTAACTCACATGTCTCTCAGTGTCCAACTCGTTCGATGGAAAAGACGAGAGTGTGTTCACTGCAATATCGGTCTATGTATGGAAAAAAACCTACAGGTTTAAGAATCCAATAAATTTCATTCAAGATTACGGCTTTAACTTCACAGAGATAAACAAAACAGTGGTACCTGGAATAATACAATGCGTTCGCAGATGAAGTTGAACGCAACTGTCAATTCCAGGCTTCAGCTACGTGTTTCACCGCCAAACACTACAAACTTTTCCCGATATGAGTGAAGTATTGCTCCATAAAATCAATAAAATAAGCTCACCGATGTTATAGTAGCTCCTGCCGGGAACCGGGAAGTGAAAGTTACATTCAACTTTATCAGTGAACTCACTTTATAATTGGTTCACGTAAATGTACATTAATCAAGTTGCATACCCAATATGACTGTTCATTTTGGTCAATATATAGTGAATATGGTAATGGACCTGCGGTTTCCACAAATTTTAGGGGATTTCTTGACCCCCTAAGCGACTTTTAGCTTTCGAATAAGGCATTAGCTCCGTGGAGTTATTGCTATTTCAATATATGATTTGAAGCTTTCGCTGCGACGTAACTAAATGCAATTTTCTCGGGTGAACAGCCGCGTCAGATGGTTAAACGATGAAACCGACATTACTGAAACGTCGGTTTAATCGTTTAACCATCTGACGTGGCTGATCACCCGAGAAGATGTTATTGTGCTATTTCAATGTTCTTAATCGTGTTTCCCATTGTGTTGTTTGTTTCCTTGTTGCAGAGTGGCGAAGCTGGCTTTGATAGAGACCTATGAAAATAGTGGTCACTTTGATATCACTTTCACCCTTTTTGTGTGGTTCGCGTTTCTGCCGACATGCACCACCCCCTGTCTCTTTGCATCGTGGAGAATGAGTCGGTTCGTAGCTTCATGTATTTTTCGTATTTTTATTACAATTATATTTTTATAGCATATCTTATTTTACGCACTTTCTGTAAGTAACTGATAAACGTATGTTATTATAGTTACTTAGGCCTACTTACTTATGAATTGTAGTGACTACCAAATATTTCCTGTAGATATGAATAATAATCTATAATTTTTCTTTTGCTTGTGAACAAGGATGTATCTCTCATATTTAAGTGAACCTGTGACTTCAGGTAAAGTGATGTAGTAAAACCAACTAAATACGAACTTAAACAGGATATGAAGAAAACTGTTAATAACGAGATTCAGAAAGATTATTTAAATCGGAGTAGAAGTATGTTTATTGTAAAAGTTTTTCAGCTGTTAATAGATAATACACAGACCCATAAAATTACAGATCATCTGATTGATTAAAAGCTTTGGAATTTGGATAACGCATTTAACTTTACAAGTAGATAGCGGCTCAGTTGCTTAAGAATTTCTGCACACTTATGGAACCCGAAGGCTCATTACCTTTCTTACAAAATCTAGCCCCTGGATGCTAGCATTAGCCAGAGTAATCCACTCCACACCTGGTCGCTTCTTCACCTTGGTATCCAAATTGGTTTCTACCTTCAGGTTTTGAGGGCCAAATTGTTGTTAGCATTTGTCATGTCTGTCATTCATCCTACATGCCCAGCCCATCTAGTTCAAATTTTTAAGTTGTCTATTGTATTTTTCTTCAGCTTCTCCCCTCGTTCAAAGTATTCCTCGGAGAAATTTGTTCTCAAACACCATGAATTTATGTTATTTCTTCAGACTGAGAGCCAAAATTTTACATTCGCACAAATCAACTGATAAAAATGGTAGTGCTACTTGTTACATATTATTAATTACTTATTTTAATCTTACTTTTTAAGTGAATGTAATTATGCTGTTTTAACGCAAATATTTAAAATGTTTTTTATACAGTATCAGATTTTGTGGGATTCAATGCTGTCGCTTTTATCTGTTTTCGCAATTCGATCATGGCAGCCAGAAATGATAGTAATCAGTGTCTTTATACTCTGATGAACGTACGCAGTGACTGGAACGCTGATCATAATTTCGTATATAGTGTATTCAACTGAATACTGCAGGATCTAGCAGGCCTAAGTTCATTAATGCCGGAATTACTTGGACAATATGTAATGTTGCTACAGAACACAACATTAAGGTAATGTTAATCAACTCTCCAGTAATATAATATGAAATGTCAACACCACTAATATCAAATCTCGTCTTTGATCTCAATCGTGAGCCATTTCACTAACCTAACAATACCATGAAGACTGTAAATAATAGACTTCCTGGTTGTTTAATATCCTATATTCACGCCTCACTTTGTGTGTATCATTTATAAATATTCTCTGCATCAGTTGCTTACACACATTATACACCACGATTTATAACCGTAGACAGTATTTGACAAAACATCCGTTTCACGTGAATTACAAATCATATTCGAAATTACATAGGATGAAGACATTAATAAAATATTCTTGGGTTATCAGACGTGTCAATTGGTTTAAAATTATCGACGTTTCAGGGACCATTTGCGTCTGGTTCAGGCACATCGTTACATCATAGCCGTTATGATGGAGAGAGATGGCCCCTGAAACGTCGGTGATGTTTAACAAAATTTTAGTCAGAATAATAATAATAATCTTTTCTTAGGAAATATTTAAGCTGTAACTGTTGAATGCAATGAATTGTTTCCGGGCGATCAGACGTGGCAGTACAGAGCAAGTGCTTGAAATACTGGAAACTTTTTCCGTGTTAACATGACTAATCGCCAACATCAAACTATTTTCTTACTCTAATATGAGGCATTTCAGACATAATGTTTCATAAATCGATATTTTTGGAAACGTCTCCCATTTTTAGGTTCAAAGAAACTGCAGATATGCGCCTGTTGGCACATTTTTTCGACACAACTCAAGAACTGCTGAATAGGAATGTATTTTTTAAATTAAATTAAATTTTATACTGTAGAGTTTTACTACTCGTACGGTTTGTCTGCTCACTCCAGTTTTGTTTGAGATCGAAAAAGAGTAAAGAGCACTTTACTAGAATAGACGTATTACATGCGTGTCTAAGCACATCCAGAATGTAACTCGCTAAATGTTCATCGGAGCGAAAAAATTTTCAGGCGAAGTTATGAAGAAAAGTGGAACATGTTTTATGTCCAATACAATTTCATTTTTACAAGTCTCAGTATTCGAGATAATTGAAAGAAGGTGTTTTATGTTGTCATTCCATAACTGCAATTAGAATATTTTTGAATAGATTTTATGTTTTAGTTCCTTGCTTCTCCAACCCATCTGTTTTACGATGGCATAATTAGTTCCATTCAAGAACTGAAAATTTACAGGTAAAAACAAGGTGCAAACATCGTTACGCTCAATTTTCATATCTTTGTTCTTATTCTTATGTTTCATCACAAACAACTTTCGTATATAAGTAAATTACGACCTGCTGACATATAGACGAAAATATTTAATTCTGTTGATAAAGTTGTACGTAAAATACAGACATAGTAATTAGGAATATGCACCAGGATAACATTTACCGGGCTCTTATTAGAATTTGGTAACTGATTTCGAAGTTAAAGTAAGTTGATAGACGGATGGGCCAAATTTATGAATATGTGTTAAAACTATTTTTTGTACGCCCTTGGAAGCTTATGGGTGTGGTCTCCCTGAGTGACGTAATCTGTGTCAATATTCGGAAGTGCGTTTGATCGCTCGGAGAGGTGCCAGTATCGACTAGCAAACAACTTCTAATTAGTTCGACAAAGGTCATAATGTAGATACTTCTCGAGATAATCTAAGACAAAAGACTATCAGAATCCTCTTAAGATGACGATTTGTCACACTTGGGCAGGAGTCGTCACTAAATCACGCTTCGTGACGCTTACGCTATGCTACGTACGGCTCGGTTAATTTTGGCTACTTTGCAATAAGTTATATGAGTTACGACAGGTTAGGTTACGATCGGTTGTGTTGTGTTAGGTTGGGTTAGATAAGGTTAGGGTAGGTTAGGTTAGGTTGTTTAGTGGATATTGTTAGGTTAGGAAACGTTTTGAAAATTTTTGTGACATTTCGGCACTTATGGCTACATCTCTACATGCCGATACAGTACGTCACGGCTAGTCACCCTTTTCAGGCTTGGTCACGCTTTGTAAAAATTCGTCACGCTTTGACACTTCTGGCTACGTCTGGTCAGTTCTTTAAAGTATGTCATGCCTAGTCACGCTTAATCACGCTTTGTTACATATAGTCACGCTTTGTAAATCTTCATCACGTTTCGACACACAGCAGGTCACACCTGGTCACGCTTTGCCACGCCTTGTCACTCTTTCGCACACGTGGTCACTAAGTCACGCTTCGGCACTCTCACGTTATGTTACGTACGGCTCGGTTATAATTTGCTACTTTGCAATAAGTTATATGAGTTACGACAGGTTAGGTTATTATCGATTGAGTTAGGTTAGGTTTGTTAGGGTTAGGTCAGGGTAGGTTGTGTTAGGTTACGTTAGGTTAAGTTTGTTTAGTGTGTTTTCTTAGGTTAAGTAACTTTTTGAATATTTTTGTGACGTTTCTGCACTTATGGCCACAACTCGTCACGCCGTTACCGTACTTCACGCGTGATCACGCTCGGTCACGCTTTTAAAATCTTGATGATGTTTTAACACTTAAAGTGTCCCTTCGTCACGCTTTGAAAGAGGTCACGCCTAGTCATGTTTTGTCACTAATATATATAATTGAAAATAATGGAGTGGATTGCAGCAGCGGTAATGATGAATCGAGTGACGTATCAGAAGCGATTGTCTGTGAGGAGTGGAAGAATTGTAAGAAGACCGATGAGTTGTGAAGAAGATAAAATTATCTAATATTCCTCTGCAGTGTTAATTCTCTAGTGATTTGCAGTGTAGTGGAATCGATTTTCTTGTGTTACATACCTTGGTGCAATTGTACTTGGAATGTACTGTACGCGGCATGCTGCCATCCCTTCCAGCAAACTTCTGGTAAGTGACTCGTTCCGAGGTTCCAATTCAGAAAGTTCAGTGGCCAAAAACGCTGGAACGCAGTATACCACCAAGTTCAAACCCTATCTTGTGGCCTGTCAGAGCCGAGGGTCGGGCTTATGCAGATCTCTGGTACAAGCAGAGAGATAGGCTGTAGGGTTCCTAAAAAGGCATTCAAGAACTTTTTTTATATGTGAATCCTTTTTACTATTACAGGATTGCTAAGGAACGCCTTCGAGGTTACTTCCGATTCAGTAACCGGAAATTACGTGGCGGATGTGACACTTCTCGTGAGGGGCAACAGCAACGCTCTGCCCACGTGCACAACATGGCGTACACTGAAAATGTCGCAGGCGAGAACGGCATTTGCATTGCTGATGTGATGCACGAAGCGGACCGACACTATCAACAGGACATCTCGTCTTCCTGATGCCACATCAATGACATCATACACTAACACTCGCCCTGTCGTCGCGTCAGGGTCGAGGCACTGATCTGATGTGACCCAAGACGCGGCACCCTTTTAAGGGCCTCTGAATTTGCGTTTCACTGGAATTAAACTCTTGAAAATTCTCAACATTTCTGCAAAACAAACTTGTTGGGAAACGGCATTGCGGTTTGTGACGAACACAGAATCTTCAGAGATTTACAAGCGAGGATTTCGTCATAAAGGTATGAACAGGAATCGTTAAACCCATGATAACACTAATGTGTAACAACAATTACAAAACCGATCACTGAATGTAAAGAGGTTGGATTTATAATTGTTATTATCACGTAAAAATGTATGATGTCAGTTTTCAGGTTTTTCTGTATTTTCGACACAGATTACTGTGAGAAGAACGTCGTCATACCAAATTTAATAGTTGTAATTAAGAGCAACGGAGCTTTGTCAGATTTAGCTGTGCTCTGAAAATTGAAAGAAGATGAAACTCCGTTTATAATTTAGTGATGTCCAACTCAAATATTTTAATTCGTACATTTTGAAACAGACACAACAATTATATTAATCATTTGAATTTACTGCAGTATTAATTTCATACTTAAATATCCAACAGATCGTATAACAGATTAAAGTTTTTTGTTGGGCAGAAAACTCCGTCGCTGCTGTCTGTACCTAAGTTCATTCTATCAGTATTACCAACTCAGACATCATATTCCTCTAGTACCTTTTATAGTTCAAGATTCTGGTATCTGAAACTAGTCATGCACATCAATAAAAGTCCAAAGATCAAATAAATATGGCGGAAAAAAATTTGAGACTCACGTATGAGCTGACACGTTAAGTGATCTTTACAGTTTCTGATTGTGAATTCGCCTTAAAATAATCTCAATATTTTTTTATTTATAATTTACTTAATGATGCTTTTTCAGTGGCTCAGACTATATAGCGAATGTTTCCATAGGTTAAAGAGAACACATTTTAATATTCTGCAGTAATATTTTTAAATTTCTCGTTATTAACGAATGAAACTCGATTTGTAGCTCAATAACTGTAATAATTACATGACGAAAGGTTTCCACTAAGTTCAGTTGGACTTATTTGAGGCGTGTGGTTTGACACAGCATAACGGTATTTGTAGTGTAGCGTTAGCTTCAAATTTACTAAGTGTTTAATGATAATATTGTTCATTAAGTTATGCTAATATATTAATATACTACAGGCTGCATGTTATATCTGTTGTTGAATTCGATAATTTAGGATAGATTCGTGGCTGTGTTTCCTGTTTATGCGTTACTAAAATACAAAAGTATATAACACCTAATTTAAGAAGTTTATATTATTGTATATCAACTAAATATTGTTAGCTATTTAAAATCATAAAATGATATATTTTTTGATATAATATTTGTGAAATACAAGACTAATGACCAATTATTTTATCTCGTTAATATTCGAAAAAAACAAGTAATTTTTTGGCACTTCAAATTAAATTGAGCATAAAAGTAAGCAAAATTCTAAAACTATAATTATAAAGAACAGTTCACAACTGTCGACTTATCAGTCACTTCACAATGTAATCTAGATCCCACAGGACATTATATAAAAAATCTTTGTGGTTTGTTGACATGGTTTCGATCCACTGGATACATTTATCCTAGTCAAGTTAAATATGCAGATGTAGCATCACGGCTTTGTAGGTCTAGAAGTTTATACATCATTGCGGTTAAATATTTAAATCTTTGTTATAATCAGCGAGAGGTTAATATTTTTCTGTGTAGTATAAAACGTAAACTATCAGTCATTGCTGTGTGGTTCTGATGCTGGTATATTATAATCAGTATTGGCGACTGGATATTTGGATGTTCATTGTACACGGTTCTTAAAGGGACACAACATTTCTGAAGTTGTATCCATTTCCAACCTCATCTGTCCGCATATCACAACTCGAGAATCACTTACTGGACGATTTCTTTGAAAGTTGGGAAAGTTTTACTAAAATTTTCCGACGTATTCCAGTTCCACAGATAGACATGTCCTCTCCATTATATTTTAACTTAATTCACTGTGTGCAAATCACCTAATTCTGTAGGCGTCAATTCAATGTTTGTGCGATCCAAAAATATATAATTTCCTGTGGAAGGCAATTCAGGCATTAGGCAAGAACTTGCTTCTGCCTCTTAAATGAATTTTGTTTCTCATAATAAATACTGGCGAGAGTTATAACTCTAATCATTGTTATTCCTACGCAAACAAATACACCCTTTAATACAATTTTAAAAATTAATTTTAGCGGACAATAATCCCCTGTCGTTTCCACTTAATTTCAACCCAACTTTCAATTCTGTTAGGAACTGCCAGTTCTTTATAAACTCGAGATTCTGTTCTCTTTCTTTCTTTATAAATCTTTTTAGCAGCTTTGAAGAGATTTTATTTTATCTTTTACATCTTCAAATAAATTTTCAAGTATTACAGCATTCCAGTTTGTAATACAATAGACATCAAATAACGAATAATACTCAAACCTTGCAACTCGTATTTCCTGTTTTGTGTTTAAAATACACTTGGGAAATCACTTGATGTTATTTTATGCCCAGTTGTGATAGAATTTGCCCTTTAAACGAATGAGCTGCTGTGCACGCATTTTTTGCCGTGAATCATCAGGGTTTTAAACTTCCAGCAAAGTTCATGATTGTTACCACAGAGAGACATCTTTTCGCGATGTTACAGATTCCTGTGCATTTGTTATGAAAATATACAACCTTTAAAAGCAGAGAGCAGTAAAGTTTGAAAATGGAAGTAGACTACAGACAAGCATCGATATATATACACACACATTAGTACGCAAAAGATACTCGAAAGAACATGTATCGAGAAATGATAGGAAAATATGCCTCTGTAATTTTTATTCATGACAATTTCTTGAAATTTAAAATCAAGATGGGATCCCGGGTTCGAAAATCTGAGCTATTTTCCGCGATTTTCTTGATGTTACAGCTTGGTGTTTCGCTTATCATTGCTTTGTATTAATTATTTATTAAGAATTCAGGACCCACTTCAAACTCGGCCCTATTCTACTGAAAAGGTACCGACCCCTTTGAAGAATATCCAAAATTCTACAACATTGTTTCCACAATTTCTCTAACGTCGATCAGATCGTCGTTTCATAGGATGAAAAGACAGGGATGGAAGTTCCTAGCCCAGTTACTCGCCCCTGTTAAAATGTGTAATCTTATGATAGGCAGGATCATTACCGACTTCACAAGATCCTGCCTGTGGACCACATTCTGATAAGCGACGTTCCGTCGGCGTGGGTTTGTAAACCCCTGCCCATTATCCGTGATTCTTTGCTTCAACACGTCCCCAATCACTATCCATATTTGTAGTTAAGTTTCCTCCGTCAGAAACCTGAAGCCATGCCTTCGTGACAAGTTGCTACATAATCTAACTTACGCACGTTTCAGTTGTGATAAATTCAAGTTTGTCTGTTACTGAGATCCATTCACTTTTGTTTATTAAAGACGTAACATGCTTGTAAGCTGTCGTTCAATTCTGAACTACACGATGACAGTGCTACGGATTACATATCTGTTTCTGGAACGTGGTCGACTTTCGGGTGTCACAGATTTAGTATGGACAAGCCTGGGACTTTCGCCACATAACAGCGAAGGACAACGAAAGTCATCGTGCGGATATAACAGACACTACTAGCGATCTCTGATCATAAGATTAAACGATCGATGTCATGATGAAAATACTATTGATATTATGAATCAATTAAATTCAGTATCCGTTACAAAATAACCCATCAAAACACGAAGTTAATATAAATTTAATTAAAAATTAAATTTATACCTAAAAGAAACACGATGCATCTCCATCACAAAATATTATTTGGCTAAGACTGTTTAAAGAAAGAAGAGCTGTTTATTTTGAGAAACGTACAAAACCCATAAATAAACTCTGGGCAAAATTCAATTGTTTAACGTTAAAGCAATTGGCACATGTAAGCTACGAAACTTCTAGTTAACTCCGTGCGGGGAAATCCTTCTTGAGAATCTCTTAGTAACGTCAGCCAATCGTTGAACTCCCTATCTTTTATGCAACCAAGAGGTCAATTAAAATTTCCGAGATAAGAATCCCCGACGAATCCATTCCACACACCATACCCATTTTACTGCAATCTGTTTAAATATTTTACTCCCATCTACGGCTAGGTCTTCAGGGTGATCTCCTCTCTTCAGGTTTCCTAATTAAAGTATATCCCAATGCGTGCTATATGCCCCACCCATATCGTTCTCCTTGATTTTACCCTGCTAATTCTTTGAGACAAAAACTCAGAAGACAATCTTAAAATTACCTACTTTAAAAACTTCTATTTTATTCTATTCGGATCCATCTCCTGAAAGATACTTACGTAGAATTTTAGAGGTCTATGTTTTTAAATTGTATTGTAATATTTTCTCTGTGTATTTTGCCTTCTAGTTTAACGTCTGTATTTACCAGTACGGCCTGACTATCTGAAGAGCATTGCTTTTTATATCTGAAGAGCATTGCTTTTTATGAGACCCTAGTTCCCAGTGCTGTTTAAGTCTAATGTACGGGGGCAAACCTACAAAATGCCTTTTTATTCCACTGTCATAAAACGTCAGAAACTGTTAATGCACGACATAAACATGTAGTTTTAATCACAGATCATCATAATGTTTATAAACATGACATAATAAACACGGTACCATATAAATCTTATTGTATGAGTTTAATTCCAACAGGTTAAAATAAATATTTTACTCTGTAACGTAAGCGAATGATGGTTGTAGTTTTGAAAAAAAATGTTATAGTTACGTATTTCTGGGCCAGTCCAGTTGTCTAGTGATTAGAATAGTAGGCATCCGAAACGTCCGTTGTCACTAATAATACACAAAATGTCATTATAATGACAACCAGTCATCTAACTGAAGACGGAAATGGACCCCACTCCCGAAAAGTCCCATATAACAAATGTATCTCAGATTATGTACACTAGCCAACAATGTCCCTGTAATGATGTGTGATAACGTTTGTCCTATCAAATTTGTATGGGTATTAATATTCGCTTAACATAACACCGAACTTTGGCTCTTTAAAATTATATTTGCCATGAAACTCTGTGATTGCACATTACAATTCAGGGCACACCAGATAAGGATTGTACGCCCCGTGTAAGCAGTTCTGTTAACACAGTGAAACGATAATAATTTGATTGCGTGCCCTAATGGACTGCGTATGGTAAAGTTATAGTCATTATAGTGAAATTATATTCAAACTGGTTGTAAACGACAGCAGAGCTCTGATGTGTCTACTTCCTACCTCGGTTTACCAAATTTGAGTAACATTGTTTTTATGTAATTAATTAACTTTATTATAACTCATCCATATATTAAAAATATATTGGTTTACCCATATAAAATATAGCAACTTTGCCTTGAAGGTGGATTCCAGGATTGTAAAAAAGCACAATTGACGTAAATCACAACAAAGATAATCTTTTAGTTTTGACTTGTCAGAATTTTGTGACAAACTAGCAAAGTACACGTGGAAAATGTACAGATCCAGTTCAATCCGAAGTTTTAATATTATTTTCACAAGAGCTAGCTGCTCGTCCCTGCTATATTATCCAATCCACAACTTCACAAATTTATTTATTTAAAATTAATTGTAATATTATCATCCCATATGTGCTTAGGTCTTCCAAATAGACTCCCTTCCCCAGATTGTTCGACTAAAATCCCGTATACATTTTTCTACTCTCCCGTGAGTGTTACTTGCCTGTCCATATCGTCGTCCTTGATTTGATTACCATAATAATGTTTGGTGAGTACAAATTAGGAAGCTCCTAATTATGCATTTTTCTTCAACCTCCGATTATTACATCTCTCTTAGTTTCAATAAAAACGTAAATAGGTAGTTCTTTATTTTGGTCTGTGGTCTTTTGGGTTATACATCGTGTAATTTTGTGCGTGTTACCAACTTTCAGGTAGAACTTATCGCCTATGTCTTCTGCCCTAAAGAAGTTTCCCTCTGTTCTGTTATTTTTTGATCTATCTAAATATCCCCGTTCGCCCATTTGCACCGGTCTTTTCAATATAGGTTTTTTTCGATAAAATTTTAACCTCCATTATTCGTACTTCCATTCAAGCATTTTCCACTCGTCTCATATTTACTTTTTTTTAGAGTATGCTCTAATACCTACTCTGGATTCATAAATTTGTGATGCATGGTATATCCATCTATTTATACCTGTGTTCAACATGTTTGTATTGTTCCGATCGTTTCCATATTTATTAGCAATCAACTCGATAAAAATTCATTATAAGCCATTATCGAACAGAAGTTGGTATGACAGGGTTTTTCAGGCTTTTTCCCTGTACCGTAGACATAAGAAACAAGTACATATATTTTTTATGGTAGTCGTACGTTAACTTGTTTAGCCCAGTCGACGCTCTAAAGAAACAAAAAGATAGTGTGTTCTGTTTTACTTTCGTAGTTTAATGGGACCCAATACACTGGAACACAGCATAATCGATCAGATTAAAAAAATATTGCTAGCCAGTTCCAGGTAGCCCAAAGCGTTGTTAGCCAACCAGTTGATGCTTACGCTCGCTACGAGCGTCTGGCTGGCTAGAGGTCGGGAAAGATGCATGTTATCTGATCGGTTCTGCTGCGATCCAGTGTTTGCAGTACCGCTGAACAACGAAAGTAAGACGATTTATTTTTCGTATTTTCAAAGTGTTAGCCAGGCTAACACTGCTACCATGGTTAACATAAAAGTTAGGCCTCTGATAGCGTCCCTGAATATAAATGACATAATTGGGTGGCGTTTCGTTCAGAAGCTCCCGTTTTCAGGGGGGGAGGAACTACTCGGTTGTGGTCGATTATAAAGTGTTTCCTTATAATTACAACGTCGTTGGTGGAACTAACCTCCAAAACGACGTAGACCTACATTATTTTATAAGGCAAGGAAGAATGTTCAAAAACAGAGCCGTCCCTAGAGGGTTGTAGGTCCCCAGGCAAAGCAGCCTATGTGGAATTCGTCCTTGAGATTTGTACGAGAAACAAAACAATGAGAGCCAGTAACCTGTACGTTTAAAACTATTGGCACAAAGATGTATATTTTCAATGAGCGTATTCCGATCTATGCTCTGATATTACAATGAAATTAAAATATTTTGTCTTACATTTCTACTTATTTGGGCACTAAATGTTTCGCTGTGCCCCCTCACCCTAAGGACGGCCCTGTCCGCACAAAATACTTTCACTTTTGTATTACATGTTTATCACAAACCTTTCGAATCATGTATTTTTTATTTGTCAGTTTTACAACGTTGTGAACTATATAGATACTTTTTAGTGTCTGTAAAGAATCCACTACCTCGGCCGATAAATGTAGCTACGTAGGCTGAGGTACCCATAAACGAACAGATACGTTTTGCCAACAGGATTCTTCATGTTCACATATGTGCACGCAGCGTGATTTACATAGAAAATCAGTATCAGACACTAAATAAACAATTTACGTGACGCTGTGAAGGGCAATATTAAAAATAGAAACAACCTCAGTTAGTGCTTCTTAATTCCCTTTCATAACATCAGCATAGCGGTCATGAAAATTTGTGATGTGCAACAATAACCTTGAACTTTTGTATAAATTTACAAAATATTGCAACGTTTATAGAATATTTTAAGTAAAACTAAAAAAAACAACAACGTGGTATCTTGTAAAATATTTCAATGTGATCACTGTGTATGCTGAATGTTAGTAAATTAACACATGGAATGTGTATGGTGACATGAAAGTAGTTTTTACCGGAATTATAGGTAGCCAGATTATACAATGTCTAGTTGTTCGGAAAGCTGAAAATGACCACGCCAACGGTGGGCGGTTTTAATGTGTGAATTTAATTCTGTTCCTCCACGTGTCAAGTAATTTGCTCATTAACATTATACGTTGTAATTTTATCTGTTGATGAAGTAACAACGTGACATCAGAGATATTACAATTTAAAAGTAAACTGAGTATAAATATAGTATAAATAAATGTGGTACATAAATATTAATTACAGAATTTATCACTGGCCATCGCTGATTATTCGTATTAAATGTAAAATCAGTTAACAGTCTCTGTACATGTTTATTATATGTAAAATATTGTGCTGTGACACTGTTCTGTTCATTTGTGTGCAGTAATTGTTACGTTGTTTGTAAGTAAAGTGTATTCTGACACTATATGTTGAAGTCAATTACTCATTTCCTGTAACGAAAAGTAGCTTCGTTAAGACTGCATGTACTTCAAGTTTGGGCTAAAGACTGAAGAAATATCAGAAGAAGGAGAAAATAACATAACAATGCGTTACATAACTTGTAAGCTTCATAAAATAATATGAGGGCGAACAGACCAGTAGGATGAGATGGGCAGTATAAAACACATAGAGATGGAAAATAAATACCTGAAGCGAATCGACCACTTGAGGGACCTAAGCGTAGGTGGAAGAATAATTCAAATACTAAAATACAGGTTTAAAAGATTTTATGCTTTGGATTAATCGATATAAAATAACGTATTGAGATTGGAAGTGATCATATCAAAATAGAATCGTTTTGTGTGTTTATAAAAAAGTTTATTTGCTCCAGTATCTAATTATTTTGTCTAAATATTATATTTTGTCATTGTTTGTATTACAAATTGTCCTACATATGTACACACACATACACACACACACACACAAAATCTGTTTACAAGTGGATTATATATCCTGTTTTCTTGTCTAGCCTTTGAAAATCCACAGATATTCTCAGGAAGTTAATTTTACTCCAATAAAATGTTGAAATGTTGGGCTCGTTGAATGAATTTAAGTAAGCCTACATCACATATTTCCAATTTTGTTATGCAAACACGACAAACACTATCGGCACATTGAATACTGGAAAGAGGTTTCATGATTAATATTTACTTTATAAGCTCGTGTTACAGCACAGCCATCTAGAAGCTGGATTCTCAGTGCAGAGACCTGGATTCAGTTTCAGAAGACTTCGAAGTGGGATTCGTGGTTAAAGAAATGGCAATAGAGCAGGCCCCCCCCCCTGTTTTTTCATGTTTTCCCGTTGCTGATTATCCTTCCACCAACGCTTCTTTGTCAGCACATTACTCGTTGGAAAAATAAAGGAAAATTGGCAAAACGATCATTAGCGACATCTTTTCACTGTGGAGGGATTTATTTCAAGACGCTACAATGAAGTCGTTCATATTACTCACATCAGATGTCGCTAGTCGCAACTAAATCAAGGTGTAACTCGAACTGTAAGTAGAAAAAATGTATCGTTCATTATTTTCTTATTGGTTTTGGATTTTTATATCAAACATGTTTTTTCTTACGTATAATTTTGTATTATATGAATAACGTTTTACTTTATCGTCTTGCAAATGTTGGCAGCCATTGATCAGTTTGACCAACAGTAAAGTGAGTAGCGATGTTGGTATTCCTTTCAAGGAATGGCTGAATGAACTTTTTTGGATAACTAGAGCTATTTTTGCATGTTACGTTGTTAAATTTGGATTATTTCGTGCAGGAATATGAAGATTGAATATGGAAGAAGGTAAGATTTTTATTCATTTATATAATGACTCCTTTCTGTTTTGTTTCATTGAGTTCTGCAATTGATATACTGAAGAAGCCTTCTATACAAAGGGTTCCAGGGTCCATTCCCAGGGGTAAAGCACCGCCGGGGCGTGGCATTGACTACACACCCTTATCTAGTGCCGAGGTTAAGAATGAGTTGGAGCTATATAACCTCTTCCTCCACAAGCGTCTACGCATATGGCGGGAGGGCTTTTACAGTAATGAGTTATTCCATATAAATAACTCCAATATTGTATGAAATTTCATAATACGACTAAAAGCTGGAGTTCCATGCCTTGAACCCCTTCACACAGAATTGGCCTTTCCCCATACTTAGATTCCAATCTGGCAATTCCAGTTTGTATTACTGGGTTTATGTACTTTGTCCATTGCTTAGTATCCAGGACATGACACATCTGTTCGGAAACTGGAACTATTTACGCCCTGAGGTATGGGGAGTACTGGAAGGAGCTAATCTCACTCACTCGTTAAGGTATTGAGATTAGCTTTTTGGAATGCTTTTTGTTCTGCCATAAATATTAAACGACGAGAAAAGACTGAAAGCTAGCAATACTAATTATACAGTCATAATATAGCATCATCAGATCACTGCAGACTTGACTGGCACTTCTGAAATACTTATACGGAGTGTTAATCATTACATTATGACGATCCGATAAAATATACAAAAATGCAACAAAAAGTATATAACATATGCGTAATAATGTTTATTTCCTGTGATTGCATTTCATTGTTAGTTATAAGTGACAGGTTGTTGTTACGTAGCAAAGAATATTAAACCAAGAGTTGTATTTGCTGATATTTATCAAATCATTTCTTCTTTGTTTTTACTCTGTTCTGAAAAACAGCTGGTGATAAAAAATTAAATTTAGAATTTCGGTGACAAAAGGCTAATGCAGTCGCTTTATGCATTGCACACAGATGGCAGATATGCTTTACAAATTGAGTCTGAATTTGTGCGCTTTTCAGACAATTTCCATCATTTCTTATTTTTCGAAAATTTTGAAAATTTTCAACTTTCTTCAAAACTCTCCCGAAGGAATGCATGCCAGCCTCGGTGAATGCCTCACCCTGTCTCTGCAGGACTCGGCCTCTATCTCACCCGGTTGCTGTCTACCTCTGTGTCTGCAGCAACCGGCCTCAGTAGGACTCGGTGTGTGAACGACCGTTCCTCTGCGCGCCTCGGTCTCTGCCTTAAGTGGTGTCTGCCGCAACTGTGATTTTCAGAGACGGCACGTCAAGAGACCGTGTGAGGCACGGTCCGCGTTCGGCCGGGTCACAGTACAACAGAAACAGTAAGAGAGCGACCGGTTCTGCAAGGCATAAGCTGGGGCAAATTTTGAAAGTTTCTTCTAAAAATTTGAAAATTTTCGAAAAATCAAAAAATGCTGGAAATTGTCCAAAAAGCGCACAAAACAAAAAAGTTTGAAAAACTTCACCTTCAAAAGTTTTTCAAATTTTTCAAAAATTTTTGGTTTTGTGTGCTTTTCAGACAATTTCCAGCATTTTTTGATTTTTCGAAAATTCTCAACTTTTTTGAAAACTCTCCTCAAGGGATGCATGCCAGCCTCGGTGAATGCCTCACTCTGTGTCTGATGGACTCGGCCTCACTCTCAGCCGGTTGCCCTCTCCCTCGGTATCTGCAGCAACCGGCCTCTGCAGAACTCTGTGTGTGAACAAACGTGTCTATTCCCGTCTCGGTCTCTGCCTTAAGTGGTGTCTGCCGCAACTTGGCTTTTCAGAGACCGTGTGAGGTACAGACTGCGTTCATCAGAGATACAGTACATCAGATACAGTCCGACAGCGACCGGTTCTGCAAGGTATCAGGTGGGGAGAATTTTGTCCCAAGTCGAGAGTAGTCGCAAGTCCGAAGTCGCGAAAAGTCCCAAGTCGCGATAATTCACATGTAACAAGTCGCGAAAATTCGCAAGTCCCAAGTCGCGAAAAGTCACATGTCCCAAGTCGCGAAAAGTCGAAATTCCCAAGTCGCGAAAAGTCGCAAGTCCCAAGTCGCGAAAAGTCACATGTCATAAGTTTTGAGAAGTCGCATGTCCAAAGTCGCAATTCCCAAGTTGCGAAAAGTCGCAACTACCAAGTCGCGAATAGTCACAAGTCCCAAATCGTGAGAAGTCGAATGTCCCAAATCGCGAGAAGTCGAATGTCCCAAGTCGTGAGAAGTCGCATGTCCCACGTCGTGAGAAACCGCATGTCCCAAGTCGCGAGAAGTCGTATGTCACAAGTCGCATGTCCCGTGTGTCTGCCCGTCTCGGTCCGTGTTTACGTGGTGACTGCCGCAACTGGGATTCTCAGAGACGGCACGTCAAGGACGGTGTGAGACACAGATCTCTTTCGTCAGAGACAGAGTACATCAGAAACAGTACGACTGAGACCAGGTCTGCAAAGCATCAAGTGGTGAGAAATTTGAAATAAATTTTTGAAAAATTTGAACATTTTTTGTGTCCCAAGTCTTGAGAAGTCTCTTATCCCAAGACTTGAGAAGTCACTTGTCCCAAGCCTTGAGAAGGGCGTGTCCCAATTCTGGAGAAGTCACTTGTCCCAAGCCTTGAGAAGGGCGTGTCCCAATTCTGGAGAAGTCACTTGTCCCAAGCCTTGAGAAGGGCGTGTCCCAATTCTGGAGAAGTCACTTGTCCCAAGCCTTGAGAAGGGCGTGTCCCAATTCTGGAGAAGTCACTTGTCCCAAGCCTTGAGAAGGGCGTGTCCCAATTCTGGAGAAGTCACTTGTCCCAAGCCTTGAGAAGGGCGTGTCCCAATTCTGGAGAAGTCACTTGTCCCAAGCCTTGAGAAGTGCGCGTGTCCCAAGTCTTGAGATATCACTTGTCCCAAGACTTGAGAAGTCACTTGTCCCAAGTCTTGATATGTTCGTGTTCCAAGTCTTGTGAAGTCACTTTTCCCAAGTCTTGAGATGTGCGTGCCCAAGACTTGAGAAGTCATTTGTCCCAAGTCTTGAGAAGTGCGTGTCCCAAGTCTTGAGAAGTCACTTGCCCCAAGTCTTGAGAAGTGCGTGTCCCAAGTCTTGAGAAGTCACTTGCCCCAAGTCTTGAGAAGTGCGTGTCCCAAGTCTTGAGAAGTCACTTGCCCCAAGTCTTGAGAAGTGCGTGTCCCAAGTCTTGAGAAGTCACTTGCCCCAAGTCTTGAGAAGTGCGTGTCCCAAGTCTTGAGAAGTCACTTGCCCCAAGTCTTGAGAAGTGCGTGTCCCAAGTCTTGAGAAGTCACTTGCCCCAAGTCTTGAGAAGTGCGTGTCCCAAGTCTTGAGAAGTCACTTGCCCCAAGTCTTGAGAAGTGCGTGTCTCAAGTCTTGAGAAGTCTATTATCCTAAGTCTTGAAAAGTGCGTGTCCCAAGT